GTGTGTATTCATAGAGAATCCACTTAAAGAACCATGTTTACAGGTAAGTAACCTGTTCTTCCCCCCAGTGCATACAGGAGGAAAGTCTTAAGGCAATAGTTCCCAACCTCGGGTCCCCAGATATTCATGGATTAAAACTCCCAGAAGCGTTCACCTCTAGCTGTTCTGGCCAAGATTTCTGGTAATTGTAGTCTAAGAACATCTAGGAGCCCAAGGTCTAATGAAATTGCCTGTTTTGTAGCACAGGTAATTTGGGAGATCTGTTTCAATTCTCAACTGAGCAATGAAACTCAAGGAGTGAATTTGGGCCAATCACACACCCTCACCCTGATTTACCTGACAAGGCTGTTGTGAGGATAAGAGTAGGGAGGAAGGGAACTGTGTATATCACCTTAAGATGATTTCTAAAAAAGAAGGAAAGAACACTAGGCTGATAGCCACCTCTAATTTCTTTGTTGTGAACAAATCACAAAGTGATGGGGAACAGCAAAGGCAATAAATAAGAACCTAGGAGGTCCTCTGTGTGTTGAAATCTGCAAGGAAATAGCAGCAGCTTATGCGTAATGCATTGCATGCTAGTCTCTGGTATCTCAAAATAAATTAATATCAGATAGCTAATTAGGAGATGTGTATGGTCTTAGAAAGCCTGTGCGAATCAGAGTACACAATGTTGGGTTAGATCAAAGGTGGGCAATGCATGAGAGCATGCACATGCATATCCTATTTTTGTCCCACCCACTGCTGCCCCACCAATATAGTTTATCCTCCCCATCAGAATCCTAGGGTTAGATACACTCGTAGTTTGACTTGGTAGGATGGATTTCTAAGACCTTGGTAGATCACATGCTTTGCACGTAGAAGGTTGCGTCTCCCATTTGGTTGGGAAAGACTTCCTTTCAAAGTTTGTAGCCCCTAGCTGCCAGTCAGTGTCCATAGTACTGAGCTAACTGGATCAGCTGTTTGATTATAGTTTTGTGTGCTGCTGATCAACAAAGGTTAATACATGGATCTGAAAATGAGGAAGCATGTAATGTGGAGACCATGCAAAGCTATGACATTTAAGAAGATGGCTGGTATCTGTAAAATCAAGATGCCTCAAAGGCCTAACTTGTAGTCTGTCTATTCAAAGCATGTACTGTTGAAAAAAAGCAATGCTCCCACCTCTCCTCTTCCTTGTTTTTTCACAGAACACGGTAACGGAGCAACTGCAAAAGAGCTATGCCAGAGATCAGATTTACACCTATGTGGGAGACATTCTTATTGCCGTCAATCCATTTCGGAACTTAGACATTTATACCACGCAGGTGGGAAAACAAAACTTTGTGTTTGATGTGAATTTTTTAATGACCACAACATTTGTTTTGAGTACCAAGGCAAGTGAGAGAGAGGCTTCCTTGCTTTGTTGAATACAGAGAGGTCAAGAAAACATTGACTTAGGGGAATGACTGGCTGAGCCTTTTTTAAAAAAAGACTTTACTTAAGCTCTTGGCTGTTTGGAACAGAAAATATCATAGAGATTGTTCAAGCAGGTTCAGGGCCGCAGGGCTTTTCCTCCTCACTCTCAAATTCAGGAGCAAAACTGGAGTTGTCCACATGTCGCTGGAGCCTTTAAACAATTCCCCTAGTATTTTCTGGACAGTTGCCATGTCTCAGGCATTCAGCTGCAATTTGGACACAGACTTTGAACCCATAGTCCAGTGAAGGAGGCCCCAGATCTCGCCTAACCCAACACGTCTGAACACGTCCACAACAATCATAAAATCTCTGGGCCTTGGCTCTAGTGGAGGGGAGGTTGCTTGCCTGCTTCCAGGAGCTGCACAATCTAGAGAGTCAGTACACAGACCTCAGAATGTGCTGTACAGAATTTCCTAGAGGTGCAACTGTGCTCCTGTGTTGAGTCTAGGGAAGATGCCCTTTTAAGGTTTTGTACTTGGGTGGAAGGAAAGTAGAGTGTGAACCAACATTGTAAGAGGCCTCAGTCTAGCTCCAGCCATCCTTGGAGTGAGGTGCTCACTGGGAGCTGTTCTTGGTGCTGAACCTTCTGGCTCTCCATTCTCTACAAGTTCTCCAGAGCAATTGCGAACTGATTAGTTCCGCATGGGCAAAATCCAATTTCTCACCGAATCTGAAAAAGTTCTGTGATAGCAATCATGATTGAAATGTGCTACATCTCTGCTGAACAAAGGGAGATGTGTCAAGTTCAGAGTCACTCAGGGTCTAATGACCAAGTCATCCAAAAAGTAGAAGAGGTGATACTTTTATTTAGACCACTACCAATCATATATTAAACTCAAGCTTTCATGAATAAAATTGAATTTCTCAGTCTTCGAGTAGAAAAATTACCAATGAACGTCCCAAGATGGTCGTGGCAGACATGATCCACCAGGCACTTTGCTTATGGTGCATTGAGAGCTGAAACCAGTTGGGGAGAGAGTGTTTTTAAGTGTCTCACCCCTGATGCCATTTGGATCACCAGATAGTAAATAGCCCATCATAGGCGTGTTTTTAAATGCCTCACCCCTGATGCCATTTGGATCACGAGATAGTAAATAGCCCATCATAGGCAAATTAATTCCAAATTATTATGTTGCTTGATGAGTTTTACAAGTAGATGCTGTTCTCAGTTGTAGTCCAGCTTGATGTTGTTTAAAGGCCACCAGGCTGTGCACTTCCCTATGTACATTTTTCAAAATTTTCAACGGATTGAATAAAGCATTTTTGTGGATGTGTTTTTGAAGTTATGTATTTTTTTGCTTTTTATTTAAAAATCCCAATACAAACTTGGAAAAAGTATGGATTTCAAGGTATAAATAGATTCAGTTTTATCAGGACATGTCAGATGGGTAAGTTTGCACTGAAATGGTAACTGAGTAAACTTCTCACCTTTCTTTAGCCTGAATGTTATGAACTAACCAAATTAAAATCCTCAGTCAAGTTCATATATCTCTTGGTAATGTGAATACATAGAACTAACATTCTCTGTTCCCTACCCCCACCCCTTTCAGCATTCCAAACTGTACATTGGGGCCAAAAGGACTGCCAATCCCCCTCACATTTTTGCTGTAGCTGATATTGCTTACCAGTCCATGGTCACCTACAATTCAGATCAGGTAATGATAATACTGTAGTCTGCAAGGCCAAATTTAATGCATTGTATAAAAAGTTGTGGGTTGTTCATAGCATAAGTGGCCTTTGTCTCCTCATCTCCAGTGTATTGTCATTTCTGGAGAAAGTGGAGCTGGGAAGACCCAAAGTGCACATCTTCTGGTCCAGCAGTTGACAGTCCTTGGACGGGTAAGGACAGTCCTTGAGTTCTAATCTTACGCAAAAAAGAAAGAAACCCAAAACATTCTGTTTCCAGTCATACCTGGAGATTTGTGTATAGGTTACCTCTAAGGGTAAAATAAGAACTTGCATTTTTTACATATTTAGACTACATCTCCCAGACTACCCTAGCCACCATGGTCAGTATCTCTGCTGCCTGGGTGATTCTGAGAGTTGTGCCCAGGAAAGCAGAGTTTCCAAACTCTGGTTTAAAAAATTATAACCCCTTCATTAAGAAACTGCCATAGATAAGAACTTGACTTTCTTCTAAGTACTGATGGTGTGCTTTAACACAGTGATTGCTCCAATAAAGAGGGTATTGGGAGGGAAATATAACAGAAGGACTGCATATTGGGAACAGTGATAGAAGGAGCCTTGTGGCATAGCGGTTAAACTGCATTGCTGCAGGCAAGACTGTGCTCATGGATGAATTTAATCTCAATGGGCTCAGGTAGCCAGGTCAAAATTGACTGAGCCTTCCATCCTTCCTAGATTGGTAAATTGAGTACCCAGCTTGCTGGGGGGTGGAGGTGGCATGCAACGTGTATCCTACGTAATGAGATTGTAAACTGTCCAGAGAATGCTTTACATGCTATGGGGCAGTCTATATGCAGCACACTTTGCTGTGATTGCTGAATTAAGCTGATTGCAACTAGAGATAGATGGGGCAGTATATATGCAGCACACTTTGCTGTGATTACTGAATTAAGAGGATTGCAACTAGAGATAGGCGCAAACTGCCCGATCGACAGTTCATGCCAGTTCATTTATTGGCCAAACAGGTTTATGGTGCTCCACCCACTCAGAGACAAGCCCCACCTCCTCTGCTGGGCACCCACTCAGAGACAGTGCCTGGTGGAGGCGGGGCAGGGAAGCCAGGCTGCTGCCTCCAAATGGGCATCTACTGGAGGAGGTGGAGCTCGAAAGCACCAAACACCTGTTCGGCTGATTCAGTTCCTGCCCATCTCTTGTTACACCAGAATCACCTCATATTGGGAGGGGAAACTTTAGCATGAGTACACTGAGAAATTGCATTTTGAAGAAGTTCTCAGTGGATTGTTATTTTTTAATGTGTGCCTAGGCTAATAACAGGACTCTTCAAGAAAAGATTCTCCAAGTCAACAATCTGCTGGAAGCATTCGGAAATGCAGGCACTATTATTAATGATAATTCCAGCAGATTTGGGAAGTACCTAGAAATGAAATTCACTTCCTCTGGAACTGTTGTAAGCGCTCAGATTTCAGAATATCTTCTAGAAAAATCTAGAGTCATACATCAAGCTGTGTAAGTAAGATGGGAAACAAAGGGTAATACTTCCAGATATTGTTAGATTGCAACTCCCATCATCCTCCACTTTGTTTGTGCAGTCTAGGGTTAATGACAGTTGTAGTTCAAAAACATCTAAAGTGTATGGATTTGCTACTCCTTTTCTTTGAATGCATGGATGAATGGCTAGAGAGAAAGCAGTATTCATTCATTTAAACATATCTGTGTGCTTTTCTTTGCAATCTGCTTCCACTGTTGGCCTGTTGCTATGTTTTCTTGCTGCAGTTATTTCCCTAAATACTTCCTTGCTGGTGCAAGAAAGACTTAGAACTGGCTGTAAGATCAGTGTTAACATTTGAAAGCAGAAGATAAATAATGAATTTCATAAAATTAGATGTTCTTGGCTTGATGTTCATTTCATTTTGACAGCTGCCCTATTATGCCCTGTCATGGGTTTTTGTTTCTAATTTCAGAGGAGAGAAGAATTTTCATATTTTCTATTATATCTATGCTGGCTTGGCAGAGAAGAAAAAACTGGCTCATTATAAATTGCCAGAAAATAAGCCTCCCAGGTATGTTCCATTTGTATTACACTTCCTTCTTTCTACCTTTCCTTTAGATCAAACTAAATAGTTTTTATTCCATTTTTTATAGAAGTGCACCCAAAAGAGGTGAAAGATTTCTCAATTCTCATAGCACTTTATTTTCCTCACTTCCATCTTTCACATTTAGCATGCTTTGTTTCATGCTTGATCTTTTGAAGGTAAACATAGGCTTCATTTGCAAGCCTGATTGCCGACTGAGCCCTTTAACTCTGAAAAAGGCCCTTGGGAATGGAGACAGTTTATCTTTAAATGTCCACATTGACAGATAAATACATGAGTAGATAGTCTTTATTAGAGTGAAGTATTCAGATATACAGAGTGACATTTTATGTTGACTCTCATTTGATTTATTTTTTAAAATATTAACTTTCATTCGATATTAAAGCTCTCACAATCATTTTCATTCCTTCACCTCTATAGGTATCTACAAAACGAACATCTCAGGACAGTACAGGACTTCATGAATAATAGCTTCTACAAATCCCAATTTGAACTGATTGAGCAGTGCTTCAAAGTGATTGGGTTTACAATGGAAGTGAGTCCTGAAAGTCTGCCATGTAGAGGTTCTTTAAGGATTGTTTTAAAACATTGTCCAAATTAAAGCAAGAAGTGGAATAAAGGAACTTCTGCTAGCTTTGAAAGTGTGAAGAGATAGTAAGGTTATAACCAGAGTGCAGAAAACTTGGGGGTTTTTTTTAGCTACAACTCACTGACTCCTCCAGGCATTGTGAGAGTTATAGTCCCAAAGCCAATGTCCTGTTCATTATTTATAGCAGCAGGAGCTGGTGTGGTGATCAGAGAAGGTGCTGATTGCATATAACTGGCTGTGTGACAGAATGCAACCAGTATGTCATCACATCACAGCAGACGCTTCCACAGTTGGCGCACCCCACATGAATCTCATGTGTAAACATTGAAGAGGACGGTGGTCTCTCAAAGGTAACTTTTTCGAACCTTGGCAGCCTTTTTTTAATCCGTTCCGGATTAACCATCGCTATGGGGAAATGTCGCTATACGGAACAAAAAAGCCCATTGGAATGCATGAAACTTCGTTTAATGCGTTCCAAATGGGCCCAAAACTCACCGTTATGTGATGTTCCTCCATAGCGCAGGCATCTTCGCGCCCTCGGTAAGCGAGGGCAGGGCGCGAAAATGCTGCGCGTGGCCATTTTGGGTGTTCCGGCGGCCATTTTGGAACCGCCGAACAGCTGATTTTTTAAAAAACGCTATGCGAAGATCGGTAAGCGGAATGCGTACCGATCGTCGCAAAGCGAGTTTTTGCCTATCTGGGCATCGGTATGCGATCGCATTAGCGATCCCAAAAAACGGATCGCTATGCGAATTCGTCGTTAAATGGTGTGCTCGTTATGCGAGGCACCACTGTATTACTTCCTTACTTAAATGAGGCCTACAAACCAATGCAAATATTCCCCACTAGCTCTCCTGTTATCTGAAGGGCTGCTATCAAGGATTTTTCCCCCTTCTAGGCAGCCATTAGAACATAGAGGCTTACATGGGTTGCTGTGTACCTGTTCATGTAACAGTTTGATAACATTTAAACTTCCATACAGTAGTTCCATCCTTCAGAATCTTTTGCATTTTGGTGAGGCAGTTGGCATTCTCTGCTATGCAAGGAAGCGTGCTAAAGCTCTAGCAGAGAATGCTAAGCACCTCATCAAAATATAAATCCCAGGGTTCTAGTATCAAACTGATACGAATGTATATTGTAGATGAAATCCGTTCAGGATCACCTTTTGTCTACAGCTAGCAAATACACAACTCCTGTAATTTTAAGAAACTTTGTGTCAGGCAAAATTAATACTGAAATTGTAAGTATGTGTTGTAATATATGTGCCGCTTTGACATTTCCAACTGTGGTGTTTCCACATGTGACAGACTAACTGGTCTGCTTCTTTTTCACCTTTAGCCCTTAGGGAAGGTATTTTTAGACAGATTAGAAGGCTTATCATCTTAAAATAACTGCACACTGTTTCCTTGATGCATATATTTTTTAGCTTTCAGAGGGTGAATAGTAACAGAGATGAGAAATGTTTATTTTTGGACAGTTTCCGAAAGCTACCAGCTGTATTGGATATGGGATTATGTAGTTCTTTAAAAAATTCCCATCTTGGTCAGTGAGAGATTATTACTTGGTAGTCTTTATCCATGGAAGAGAAATTCTACCAGAAAAGTATCCTTGAGATGTACATTGCCTGCAAATTCAACTATGTTCAGAGAACATCCAAGGCTGAATGCTATTGCAATATGATCAAAATAACCCCCAGAGCATTTCAGGGAGTCTCTCTCTCTTTTTTTAAATTAGAAAAACAGCATGTTCCCATGATATACTCACTCATAGCTTATATATTACATTGTGCCTTAAAGTCAAACTAAAGGTCACATGGAAAAATTTAAAAAAAATATATAAGGAAAGGGGGCTGCTGGGAATAAACAGCAATCTTGCTGTACAAAACACAGTCAAGCCACATTTAAGGCTTACAGGAAAAGGGCACCAAGATGTCAGTTGCAACATAACATAATGACAGAAGTCAGTGTAGTCATTTCAGTCATCAACAGAATAATTTTAGAAATACATGTAGAGGCCAATAGGAGAAGGAGAAGAAGAAAAACAAATGCTGGAATCTAGCCAAAAGACAAAAGAGCTGATGTCTTGAACAAGATTGTGTTTTTAAACTACTTTTTTTTATTAACCAGAGGCCAATGCAACAACTTCTGAAAGCTTTGCTGTGCTTCAGAAGTTTTCCATTCTGAGGTCTGACAAAAGGCTTGCTGTTCCTGAAACATGCATCCAAAAGATCAGTGAGCACACACAACAGCTGTCTTTGTGGCTTTTTCTGTGGCTCAGTTCAGACATCTGTAACATGTTCATGCATCACCACAAGTCATGGTATGAAATCTGGCTTGTTGTGATGTGTAAACCCACCTCTGATAACAAGCCATGGTTTTAGTCATCAGCCATGAAGTGTCATCCAGACCCATGGTTTGGTGTTGGGCTTGAAAGCTTGTTATCTTGCATTTCACCAACTACTCTGTCAAAGATCTGGAGTCCCACCATGATAAAAACAAACTACTGCCCCCCCCTTTCCCCAAAAAGGACATTTCATTCTGTTGTTCCGTTTATCAGTGAGTGGATTGGGCAGAAGGAATGGGGACCGGGAGAGGTAACAAATTACTACTGCTGCCATGTCAAATGATTACAGTGAGAGAATCTCTGGTATGGAGTTGGTCAATAGGAGATAGCGCATCACATTTCCAAAAGGACCTGTGGTTTCACCATAGACTACATCTGTGTCACACCAGTGATGCACATAGGTAAAGGTAAAGGTTCCCCTTGACATTTAGTCAGTCGTGTCCGACTCCAGGGGGTGGTGCTCATCCCCGTTTCCAAGCTGTAGAGCCAGCGTTTGTCCAAAGACAGTTTCCGTTGTCACATGGCCAGCGCGGCTATACATGGAATGCCGTTACCTTCCCACCGAGGTGGTACCGATTTATCTACTCGCATTTACATGCTTTCGAACTGCTAGGTTGGCGAGGAGCTGGGACAAAGCGACGGGAGCTCACTCTGTCGCATGGATTCGGTCTTACGACTGCTGGTCTTCTGACCCTGCAGCACACAAAGGCTTCTGCGGATTAGCCCGCAGCGCCACCATGTCCCTAGTGATACACATACCATTGTTCAAAAACTACTGCTTTAAACTATGAATCTCAAACTATGGCTTGTCCTAAGCTTTTTGCCCTTGCTGCGATTCCTCAAGTGGATAGAAAAACAGTGCATCATGGTACAGCAGGGTGGGTTGTTAGTCAAAAGAACAAAGTTTGTAAAGCACCTGGAACTTCAGAATGTGATTATTTAAAAGAGGAAGAGTTGAAACAGTAGAATCAGGTGATCCTGGCAGTAGCCCAGTTTACCTAAAAGTCGAATTACCCCTGCATGACAGACCGTATTTTTCCATGTATAAGACACACACACACCCCACTATTCTAACCCAAAATTAAGAAATCTTTACTTAGCTTTGAGTATTCAGCCTCTGGGCTCAGAACACTCAGACATTATGAGTCCCTGTTGCATCTGAGAAGTGCCTACATGCTCCAACGAGGTATGTTCCTATTGGTTTGTTCAGTATCAGTTGACATCAGTTACATAAGGCTCGTGATTGGAGGAAGCTAAGTTTCCTGACTGTAGGAAGCTAAGCCTCCCGATTAGAGGGAGCCTGTTTACAGAGGCAAGGTATAGGCCGTTTTGTTCTCTCCTCAGCTTACATCCGTATATAATACTACCCTCAATTTTTAGTCTAAAGGTTTTAGACAAAAAGTATTGTCTTATAAATTGAAAAATACGGTAATCTTTATTTTTAGCACTGCGGCTGTAGTATCAATTAAAACAAACTGAAGAGAGTGTGACCGCTGTCGAAATGCAAATTTTCAGGGGTCAGAGTCAATAGTAAACTGAAGGAAATCGGTATGGTGATTGTGACGTGAAGTGTCAGTTATGAGACTATAAATTGGAATGTTTTTGTGCACCTGTCTTTCAGGAACTAGGGAGCGTATACAGCGTTCTTACTGCCATTTTAAATATGGGCAACATTGAATTTTCATCAGTGGTAACAGAGTACATGATTGACAAGAGCATCATTTCCAATCCAACGTCTCTTGAGAATTGTGCGTTTCCTTTCCTTTTTTATATTAAATACTTTTCTCTTCCTTTGTATTTGTTTTATGATTGATGGTGTAGCCAAAGGCATGTCTGTTTGGAAACAAGATTCTCAAAGTTCATTGGAAGTTGCTTCCAGGGAACCATGTATTGGGTTGCAGCCTAATTGACTTACTTTGTTAATTACAAACCATGGAATTATCTGCACATCACAGAGATCTCATACCATTGCTTCTAATTCTCCTCACTGTGCTATATAACTTATGGGCGGCGGGGGTGGGGGAGTCCCACAGAACTCAGTTATGCTTACTTTTTAGTAAGCATGCATAGAATTGTGCTATCAAATAATTTTGTTTAAGCTGTTTGTGTGTGAAATATTTTATACAGTCCTATCAATAGTCACATTTCCCAGAACAAGATTGTTGTTCACATATGATTTGTGACTGTTTGATGAGATCTGAGGATGCCTCTTGGTTGCATGCTTGTTCACGTTCCCATTTGCAGAACCACGATAACCCAACCGCAAAGACAATTAGTTGCAATTAGCCATATCAAGTTAGTGCAAATTTTATTGTAAGCGCCAACAGAATTCTAACTATTGGGTTGGATCTGGGCTTAGTCATTCTTTGGCCTATTGAAATCAATGGAAGTTAAATTAGGCATGGCTAACTTAATTAGTTTCAAAATGCAATTAGACTATTGATTTCAGTATGCCTGCTTTAGTATGTATCCCATTCTTTGTTTAAAGTTGTGGACTGATTTTCACCTATGATGATCTAGGTACATTTTTAGGTTATTGCAATCTGTTCTGTGTGGGGCCATCTTTGAAACATTTCAGGAACCGCAGTTTGGGCATACCGCCACAGCCAAATTGCTCTCTTCTGTGAGTGTTAATAGATAATACTTCATTTGCCATGGCCAGCACCCTGAGTTGGTTGTCTGAGCTCACCCAACCACCCCCCGGGTTGGTGCACTGAACCTGGAGACCACTGGATCTTCAGGCCAGTGCTGGGAGTGGTTGGGCTGCCTGGGAGAGGCAGCAGGGCAGTTGTGCATCTGAGCCAAGCAGAGGGGGCTTGAGCATGGCAAGGCATTGTGAGCAGGTGGAAACTATAAGAATAAAGACTGGGGAAGAGGAGGAAGAGCAGGAGTCTGAAGAGTCTGGGACAGTAGGACAGGAAGAATACTGGGTCGGTGCAGAGGAAAAGGCACTATATTGTGAAGAAGGTCTTTGAGTATTTGCTGAAGGACACCATTTCCAGGGGTCTAGGTAGAGCTCCGTGTGCCCAGAAAGAAAGCCAAGACTTTCTGTGACAGTCTTGTGGACCCTGATCAAGGCATCCCAACTGCAGCCAGTAGGATTGTCCTCCACCACCACCACTGTCACTGCCAACCCCCACATCCACATGAAAAAGGCCCTGAAGATGCCAGAGTCTGCAAGAGCTGTTGCAGCGACTGCAGGCAAAGGCATCCAAGCAATCAGGCGAGGGTCCAGAGCATGGAGTAAACCCTCACTGAAAGAGGCCAGAGGGGCAGGATCTTGAGCAGGAACTGTTTACAGCTCCCCGGTTCTTCTACTCATCCCCGGTGAAGCCAACTGGGGACGCAGAGGAGACCAAGCTTGCCTAGGGGGGCAGTGCTGGAAATGGGCACTCTGAAGATAAAATTTGGGGGAGGGAGTGCTGGTGAAGGAACCAGGATTGTAAATTCTCCTTCCTTCCTAATTAAAGTTGTCATTGCATCACCTTTCTGGTTTGGAGGCTATGGATGTCCGCCAAGGGTTGCGATCGCCTGCTGGCCTGACATCTGGGATGGGCGTTAGCACTCACAATCATATTAGACGGTAATAGACCATGGGTTTGTGGGAACACAATGCAGGGTCCTTTCTGTGGTATCTCTCCCCGATCATGAAGGGTGTTTATTCCTCAAGAGATTTGACATTTCCATTAGTGGTTAAAAATAGCTATGTAAGGGCCAGCATGAACAGAGATGTGTTCCATTTTATATGTATAGTGATCTTGGAACTAGTCTGAATATTGATGAATAAACATTTTTTACACTTTCTGTAGGCCATATCTATTTCCTTTGAAGATGTGCCCCTCCACCACAGAATATTTTAAATTCAACCCCTCAATTTCCATTTGGTTAAAAAACAAACATTCCGCAGAAGATCATTTCTTGACAGATTTGGATATAATGCATTTCTTTGCTTCCCAGCTGCTTCCTTGCTGTGTATTCAGGCAGATGAGTTGCAAGAAGCTCTAACATCTCATTGCGTGGTGACCCGAGGAGAAACCATTATACGGCCCAACACGATGGAAAAGGCGACGGATGTAAGAGATGCCACGGCCAAAGCATTGTATGGGCGCCTCTTTAGTTGGATAGTCAACCGCATCAATGTGCTCCTCAAGCCAGATAAAATTTTAAGGTAAAGAGCTTTTTTTTGCATGGGGAACAGCAAGTTGTCCTGATGCGAAGAGTGTTGTTCATGTGCTGGGAATCCAATAATGATTAAAGAAATGTTTTAGTGGAGTACGATAGTTACTTCGAAGTCCATCTTTACAATATTCCAAGCCAAGTCCTTCCATATTGCACAACACACACACACACCAGAGGACTTAAATATGTTGAACTATTTTTGTGAACGGCTTGAATTGTCACTATTAGGCCTTTCGATTCCTCAGCTTTGGAAAGATTTGAGTGTTGCAATCAAAGTTCTCAAAAACACCCAAAAGAAAACTGGTGTTGACTCAGCCATGTAAGAAGTGCTTGTGTGACTCAGTTGTGACTCAAAATTCAAACATCCCATGGCTTTCTGCTCTTTTTTTTCTTCCTGCTCACAGATCTACAGAGTGTCTTCCTATCACAGAACTTTTATATTTGGGAAGAAAAGGAAACAATGTTGTCATTGTGCAACAACAAACTCATTGCCTTGATTTCTCATTGAAACTCTGTTTTTTTTTAATGAATTTATTACCCAAAAATCCACCAGTGAGTTTTGCATAAGGGTAGCATATATACAACTAAATCAATATAAGCAAGTAAGAGTTCAAAGCAAAAGATAAACATTGCTGTCTATAACAAACTGATAGAGATGGTTATATTGTAAATATATATGGCTATATAAGGATGCCATACCCTATGTTTTCATGGCTCTTATTTGTTCTAACACCTTGCAATTGCTGTGTTGATTCCTCTCATTAAGAACTCTCTCACCTGAGTGCTGAACTGTCAGAGTTTCAAGCTAATCTTTGCTTTCTAGGCCAGTCCTGCACCTCTAGGGGCCTTCGGTTCTGATGCATTTGGAACGTGTTCCTGTAGGGTAATATATTTGTGTCAATTCAAATTTGCAATGCAAATGAATCCATGTGATATGTAAATATTTGAGGGCTATAAGAAGACTCTTTGCCAAGGACAAATTATCCTGTGGCTACTTGCTGTTGAGAAGCAACGTTTTCCAGTTCAGATGCTCAGAGTCTGATGAATTCTGCTTAGAGGATATCTACGATGTTGTGATCTGTTAAGACTCCCAAGCTGTTTGATATAACTCTGGACTTTGTTAACAGGCATATTAGTCATGCTTTCACAAATAATTGTGAAGTTGAACTGATGTGGACACAGCTATGAGGGAAATCCTATGATGTAACGTGATAGCTTTGTCTGTGTTTTCATCTATGCTTGCTTTTATTTCTTTTTAATCTTGTTATGTGTTGGATCCCAGTTCTGGAAGTAAGGCCAGAAATAAAATAAAATAAGCATTTTGTCTTTTCAGTGAAAGCGATGAAGGGCTTAACATTGGAATTCTTGATATTTTTGGATTTGAAAACTTCAAGAAAAACTCATTTGAACAGCTTTGCATCAATATCGCCAATGAGCAGATCCAGTTCTATTTCAATCAGCATGTCTTTGCCTGGGAACAGGTAATCCCGCTTGTATGTGTGCAGTTTCTTTATCTTTATTTTTAAAATGTTTCTGCATCACTTTACCACGGCTCAGAAGAGCCTACCATAAAAAACACAAAACTGTTTAATAGCACCATCAAATTGCCTGTTAAATTAGCTTGTACCTAATCTATCACTTCAAAAGCTGGGTGGAAAGATGCACAATTCAACCCTTTCAAGATGTGAGTAAGGAAATGGCATTCTTATTAGTTATGTTGGCTAGCTCTGTGGTTTAGGCATCTGGCTGCAGGGCCAGAGGTTTGGAGTTCGAATTCCCTACTGTGCCTCCTTGACAGGAGCTGGATTTCATGATCCATAGGGTCCCTTCTCTGCAGCCCTGTCATGAGGATGATGATGATGTTCAAATGAACAACTGTCCTGTGCTTAAAAGGGCTGTGGGGAGGCAAGATTGCACCCAGTAAGCCCAGGAGTGAGGACGATGCAGCCCTCCAGAAATAGTTGAACTACAACTCCCATCAGCCCTAGCCCTAGTAGAAAGGGATAGTGGGACATGTAGTCCTAGAACATCTGGAAAGCCACACATTTTCAGTCTATGTAACAGGGCCCTGTCACAAAACCAGTGTACCTGTCGGCCATGTTTTTAGCAAGTATAAGAAAGGTCTCATTTGTCCATTCAACATGTGAACACTGTTCACTCAGGTATAATATTATGTGGAAAATAACTCTCTATATAAGAGCATCTAATGGGGATGCAGCGGTACAGATGTATGTTAACAAAAGAGTGCAAGATCAATCCTGTTTAATTCTGATCATGTGCCGCTGCACGTCTTTGACAAAATTCTACATCTCTTGAAGAGACAGAATATAGTGAAGGAGAATAAGATATTTTGTTTCTGTCTGTTCTGTGCCCAGTTGTTTGATTGCTTGCTGCAGTTTAAATGTCTAACTGAAAATACATTAGCCTTTCCATTTTCGGTATCCAGGCAACAGAACACATTGATAATAGGTTTGATGCAAATGTTGTTTTGATGAGGAATAAGATGTGCTGTATAATTTATGGTTTAATAGGAGGAAAAAGAAAGAAAAATATGATTCAGTGAATATAGTCAAGAGTAGTTTAAAGGACAATAACTATCTTAGTAACTTAACTAATTTATTAATTGGGAATTCTCAGTGAAGTTAGGAAATGCCCCCTTTAATTTTCTCTAGGAAATTTGCTGCCCAGGTTAGAGTGTAGTCTGATGAAACAATGTCTGAGGGAACAATGTCATTTGATCATTATATTTTAAGGAGGGGTGCACTTAGCAAAAGGTAATGAACCTGAAAAGTCATTAGGTAAAGTTCAGGACCTTAAAGAAGCCTGAAAATGAATGTTTAGTGTTTTAAATTGGCAATGGCGTATTTGTTTAGGTGTTCCTCGATGGATGGAAAGACCAGTGTTGCAGGAAAAAAGCCTATGGCTACAAGCCCTGAGCAAATAGGCCTCTTTCATTTATAGAAGTAGCTGCAAAAAAAGGTTGCAGTGGATCCCTACTCACCAAGAAGCATATAGCTGATGATGGCTTCAGCTAGTCTGAAATTGGAGTTTAGTAGATTGATATTTCAGGACAGAGGAGAAGGACACCTTTGTTTCTTTTCCAACCTTCCTGAAAGCTTCACATATTGTGCTATGTAAAGACTCAGATTCAGGAATAGCTAGAAGTTTCAAATTCAAATGCTTCACCTCCATATACTGTAGGAGGAAACGGTTTCCCTTTCCCACTCTGTCTGTATAGCTAAAACAGAGGGTGGTGTTTTCTTTCTAAGGATTCTACAGTGTGATGCCTGACAATTTCTGGTAGGATAAGGAAAGTGAGGCCTTCCATATATCATGGACTTTAAAGCCCAGCATCCTTCTATATTGGCTGTAGAAAGATGGCGAATGCCCACACTGTAGCGGGGGGGGGCAGTAGTTCTTCCTGCATCGGGAAATGAGAGGAGTGTTTCTCATCTGATGAACTGATTTTACTTAGTCAATTAAGTTAAACACTGTGCTTTCCCTCTCTGACTCCGCTATATTCTAAACTAAATGTAGTATGAACAAAAGTTTTAAGGGCCACCGCCTTGATGTGAAATGTGCATTTTGCTGTTAGTGCTGGTGGGAAAGACAACTATACTTCACCCATGTAATGGCGCAGCTAAAAAAATCTTGTAAATAAAATAAAAGGGAAGAATCAACTCAGAAGGTTTGGATGCAAGTTACAAGTTGCTAGAGTGGTTTTTACATTCATTGGTTGATGCTATTTATCTTTGCATGTTATGTTCACCTGACAAATTGATGTGGCAGTGGTGTCCAATACAATTTTTGCAAATTTGTTTTGAAGATTGTGCTGTCCTATCAGCCAGTCAGCTTTTCTCCACCATCTAGACCCGGATTACGTCTGATTCATTGAGTATCTCCAGCAAGTCCAAAATGCTGTGGCCAAACTGTGGCCTGCAGCCTTTTAAAAGGAAAATGGAAATTCTTTGCTGCAGTGCTTCACTTGCTACCTGTTCATTTCCAGGCACAATTCAGAGTGCTGGTGTGTGACCTCTACAGCCCTATGTGGCTTGTGTCCTTGCAAGACCATAGCTTCGCATATAAGCCTACTGAGATGTTAAGATCTTAAAGGGAAACCTTTCCTTCTGTCCTGCACCTTCACAGTACATTTGGTGAGGACATGAGACAGACCCTTTGTGGTAACTGCTATCAGGTTATGGAGCTCCCTTCTGAGTAAAGCTAGGCTGGACCTCTCCGTGTCTTTTCATTTCATTTTATATTATTTATACCCTGCCTTTCTCCCCATGGAGGACCCAAAGTGGCTCAAAACAATTAAAGCAATACAATAATAAATAGATTTAAAATGCCATAGAAAATATATTGAAGAACCAATTAAACATATGTCATTATTAAAACCAAGATTTCAAATAAAATTTAAAACAATTTTAAGAACCGTTTGAAATCACAAAGACTAATAAATGTAGCATTCCTGATACAGCCCCCCAACTTATTGCTCAAAGTTTGCCTGAAAAGGAAGGAACAGGAAGAAAGTGGGACATGAACATTGCTGCGTAACAGTCCTTTCCACTTCCTTGCTGCAATTTCCCTTAGAAATCATAAGGAACTCTTTTCTGGTCCAGGGGAAGTGGTGGGAATGTGTTGATATTTCTGTGTAGTTCCTTCTGAATAAAGAATCTATTTATATTGCAGCATATTCTTACCAAAGCAAGTGCTGAGTTAGGAAGTAATGCCCATTTCAGGGACAGTTCATGGTCCAAGTACAGGGAGCACTCATTTCCAGATTTTGGGACGATGTGCCACCCCACACATAGAGTCCCTAGTCTGAATTCATAAGTCAGGGTATCATTGAAGACAATGATCCTATTTGCACTCTTGCAACCCAAACTGTTAAAAGCTGGTCATTTTCAAAGACACTAGCTGAACTTTCAGTGAGAAAGATTAATCTAGAAGCATGCCTAGATTATGAACTCATTATTTTAGGGAGAACTCAGTCCTAGACACAATACAGACAGATGGGACACCATCTTTGTGAACATGTGAATCATGCAACCTCTGTGTTCTTGGAACTAGGAAAACACAAATAATCAGATATTATCTAGCTCCAGTAGAATTAATCTCTTATGCCTACTGTATGTGTACAATAAGGAGTTGTTTGTCCAGAAGGAAGCCAGTGTTATGGCCAGCAGTTATTAGACTGAGTGGATTGTTGATCTAGCTTAATTTAGTTGTTTCTGTGTTGTCTGACAGATTGTTCCCAGTGTAGCTATTGTTGATCTAGCTTAATTTAGTTGTTTCTGAGTTGTTTGACAGATTGTTCCCAGTGTAGCTACGTACAGTATACTTCTTTAATGGTGCCTGTAGCTGAATCTAAAACATAGGATGTAATGTGATTGTGCCAAGTTACAGCAATCCTTATCTATATCCTTCTGCTGGCCTGTCATACTTACAAAGAGGCCACAGGACACCAAAATGGACCGGGAGTTGCAACCCTCTGAATAGCTCCAACCAAGAAGCTCCAGTCCTGCATGGGGTGGAAATGAATTGAGCCATTTCCTGGCGAACTGCAGGCCCCTAAAGTAGGGCGAAGCTGGCAAGATTGTTCAAGGATTTCACTGTGAGTTCAGTTCCCCATTGTGTCTCCCAGGAGAAAAGCCAGGCTGTGTAGTCTTGGGAAAGCTGCACAACCCCAAAAGAAGAGAATGGTAAACCACTTCAAGGTTCTCTATGTCAGGCTACTTTAACTGTTTTCAGTTCTCCACTTCCTAGGGTTAGAAACTGAAACATCAAGTGAGCTAAAAGGTAGCCAGTTTAAATCTTGATTTGTCCAAATGTATGTGCAAGAATTCTTAGGATGATAAATGATGAGTTCTGCAGAATGCGATACTCAGACGGAACTCATTTGTCTCACACGCTTGCATCTCTCTCTCTTTGTTTTAGTGCTCTCCTTCCATTTTTAATTCCTTTCTCTCCCAGCATATCTACCTCACCAGCATGAAAATTAGGCCAAAGGTCACATGCCCCAAAGTATCTTTCTTTGCGAGGTTGCACAGCGTGATACGCTTCTGTCATCTGTTCCAGAATGAATACTTATATGAAGGAGTGGATGCCCGAGTCATTGAGTATGAGGACAACAGGCCCCTGTTAGATATGTTCCTGCAAAAACCAATGGGATTATTATCTCTTCTTGATGAGGAAAGCCGGTTTCCTCGAGCCACTGATCAGACGCTTGTGGGTAAGTTGATAATATATTTAAAGGTGCACTGGCATCTGGCTTCTCTTTTCAGTGTAATGGAATAAAATTATTTAATGGTCCAATTGGCACATCTTTAGTTGATCGCCAAAATCCTTTTTGTTACATAAGCCAGTGTAATTCAAATGGTGTAAGTCTCAGCAGCAAGTAGTCAGCATTGGCATGCTTTTTTAATACTCTGAACACAACAGCAAATGCCTGCACTACTTGTTGTTGTTTAGTCGTTAAGTCATGTCCGACTCATCATGACCCCGTGGACCAGAGCACACCAGGTCCTCCTGTCTTCTGCTGCCTCCTGGAGTTGGCTCAACTTTATGTTGGTAGTGTCGATGACACTGTCCAATCATTTCGTCCTCTGTTGTCCCCTTCTCCTCTTGCCTTCACACTTTCCCAACATCAGCGTCTATCCAGGGAGTCTTCACTTCTCATCAGATGGCCAAAGTGTTGGAGCCTCAACTTCAGGATCTGTCCTTCCAGTGAGCACTCAGGGTTGATTTCCTTTAGAATGGATAGATTTGTTCTCCTTGCAGTCCAGGGAACTCTCAAGAGTCTCCTCCAGCACCACAATTCAAAAGCATCAATTCTTTGGCGGTCAACCTTCTTTATGGTCCAGCTCTCACTTCCATACATCGCTACTGGAAAAACCATAGCTTTGACTATGCGGACCTTTGTCAGCAAGGTGATGTCTCTGCTTTTTAAGATGCGGCCTAGGCTTGTCATTTTTTTCCTCCCAAGAAGCAGGTGTCTTTTAATTTTGTGACTGCTGTCACTATCTGCAGTGATCATGGAGCCCAAGAAAGTAAAATCTGTCACTGCCTCCATATCTTCCCCTTCTATTTGCCAGGAGATGATGGGACCAGTGGCCATGATCTTAGTTTTTTTGATGTTGAGCTTGCTTTGTTCTGACTCTTCGTTAATTTTTGGTGAATTTTTTTCCCCCATTGAAATGCTTTGAACCTAAGTTTGACAGCTGTCAGATGGGCACTTCAATGCATTCCAATGGAGGAGAAAAAAATTCACATACATTTTACAAGGTGCTCTAACAAATCCAAGCATTTAAAACATTTTTTGAGTCTTCATTAATTTTTGGTGAATTTTTTTCTCCCCCATTGGAATGCATTGAAGTGCCCGTTTGACAGCTGTCAAACTTGGGTTCAATGCATTTCAATGGGGGGGGGGAATTCACCAAAAATTAACGAAGAGTCAGAACAAAGCCAAATTAAGTTTGCACACATTTTAGAAGGTGCACTAACGATTCCAAGCATTTAAAACAGTTTTTGAACATTTTAAGACACTTTAAAAATAGCGAAAACGGACATCGCAAAACCATTGAAATGCATTGAATAGGCTTCAATGCATTCCAATGGGGGAAACATTGTATCGCTTAGCAATGGTTCCTATGGCGATTTTCGCTTAAGGACGGCAATCCGTTCCTATTGGAACAGATTATCCGGTTTTCAATGCATCTTTATGGGAAAACGTGTTTCACTTAGCGATGTTTTCCCATAGCGATGTTGTTTTTTTTAACCAATTAAAATCATTAAGCAAGGCACCACTATAGATGTTTTTCTGGAACTCTCTGGCTTTCTCCATAATCCAATGAACGTTAGCAATTTGGTCTCTAGTTCCTCTGCGCCTTTGAAATCCAGCTTGTATTTCCAGGAGTTCTCGATCCACATACTGTACTAACTTCTTAGCTTGTGGCAGTTCACTATTAACATTTATGACAATGTAAAAAATCTAGTAGGATTCTAGCTGATATCTTCAATATATCAGGGCCATATTTATTTCTAGACAGAGAAAAGCAGCCAACTCAGTTAGATTTGTGGGTGTAATGAATCAGCAGTAATTTTTTTAGTTATTTAATTAGGATTTTGTTTTTGTTTTTATTGCGAAGAAATAGGGAAGAGTTGCTTTCAGGGTTTTCTGTCTTATGGGTCAAAATAATTTAGCTGTTTTTATGATGATGTAATTTTACTAGATGGTTACCATTTACTGCTCTGTGTCAGTCAGTAAAATGTCTTGGCCGTTAGAATACCTTGAACTGCTACCTGTAGAAAATAATTAAACAAGATCAGGTAGTCCACAGGAGATGGACCTGTCATGCTCTCCTTAATTAAAAGCAATAGGGAATTTAGGACACCTTTTCTAGAGCCATTTACCATCAGAGCACCAAAAGCTTATACAAATTTTAAAGCTTTTACAGAAGCATCTGTATGATTTTGCACATTTGGAGGCAAGAAGTGGGAAGAAGCGGTGGTTGGCATAAAGCAGTGGTCCCCAACCTTGGGCCTCCACATGTTCTTGGACTACATCTCCCAGAAGCCTTCACCACCATCTCTGTTGGCCAGGATTTCTGGGAGTGGAAGTCCAAGAACATCTGGAGGCCCAAGGTTGGGGACCACTGGCATAAAGAATGCAGACCTGTTTTAGACAAAGGCCAGTGTGTCTATGTGGCTTATTCACTTTGTAAGTAAACTTGTGTCTTTACTTCACAGAAAAATTTGAAGACAACCTGAAGTAAAAATATTTCTGGAGACCAAAAAGAATCGATTTAACATTTGGGATTTACCATTATGCAGGGAAGGTAAAAGAACTGAATGATGCTTCTTATTGCTGTTGGAAACATGGGACCAATCTGGGTTTTCCAGTCTGAAGGCAAGCTCTATATTATGTGCTGCTGTATGCCTTTAGGCATGTGAGGGGAACCCTAGAGTTCATGCTAGAGTGGTCGCTGAATGGCAAGCCAGTAATCAGGCTTCCTCCAGGTATTTTCCAAGTGAACCATTAATCGAATTAACCAGCTAAGCACCAGCTTCTTTGCTCCCTTGTTTATTCCGCATTACAAAGAATCATTGGGCTTCATCTCCCACTAATAAGTTTCTTGAGAGCTGAAGGTATAGGCTTTAATAAACATGAGAATAAATGTTGTGTAACCGTTACTGTCCTTGGGTTTTGTGTGTTTGTCTGTTCTTGGTTTTTACAACAGGTTCTTTATAATGCAAGTGGATTCTTAGCCAAAAACAGGGATACCTTACCAGCTGATATTATACTGCTCCTGCGATCCTCTGAAAACTACTTAACTAGACAGCTAGTAATCCACCCTCTTACAAAAACAGGTAATGGTTTTACTTTTTTTTCCTGCTACACTTGTACAGTCCACTGTTTTGTGCTGGCTTTCATCTCTATGAAAGTGGGGTTTGTGTTCTCTTCCACCCAAACACATACTGGGGAATTACAGTGAAATCTCACCTACAATATTATTAGCCAACATAGAAGAATAGCAGAAATGCAGCACTGGATCTGGTATGTGATACTTCACCAGAAGCATGCACTGTGTCAAAGATTTTCAAATGTCTTTCACTCAGAGACTTCCAGATGCAATATTTGTTCTGCGTATATACCAGGTTCTACCGCATAGCGAGGTTAATCCGTTTCGGATTAACCTTCGCTATGGGAAAACATCGTAAAACGGATCCAAAAAAACCCATTGGAACTCATTAAACAAAGTTTAATGCGTTCCAAATGAGCCCAAAACTCACCGTTCTCCGATGTTTTCCCTTGTTCCGGCTATGACACTTGGGTGTACCAGCGGCCATTTTGAGCATCCCGGCGGCCATTTTTGTGTTCCGGCGGCCATCTTGGGTGTACCGGTGGCCTTTTTTGTGTTCCAGTGGCAATTTTGAGAGTCCTGGCGGCCATCTTGGGTGTGCCGGCACCCTTTTTTGTGTTCCAGCGGCCATTTTGGAACCGCTGAACAGCTGTTCCCCCATCATAATGCGAGCATGCCCTCACATTAGCGATGGGGAAATCCGCATCGCAATGCGGATTCATCGTTCAACGGTGCACTCGTTATACGAGGCACCACTGTACCAGGTTCTACACAGCATTTACCAGAATTTTCTTCATGCCCAGATATTTGTCCTATCTCAATTTTCTTGAGTTCGTAGAATTTTTTCTTCCTCTCTTTATTTTTTGTGTTTCTTTGTTCTGGGTAAGTGCCATTAAGCGCTATGACACTAAGACATTTTAGCACTGAATTAAGGAAGTCCTAGGCTCCTCTGCAATTTCAGGCTATTGCCTCTCTGAAATCCATACTTCAGGCAAATGTTCCTTACAATTTCATCTCTTCAGCCTCAAAATCAGCATTACACAAGAACAGGCACACAAACACACATGCTCCTTGAAGTGGTTCCTCGCCAGTGCTGCCCTTTTGTCAGGCGTCCCCTCAGACTTTTCTTCTCTTGTAGTGAGGAGATAACCTTACCACCACATTCATAGTAAAAAAAATTCTTATATATTATAATCTTTGATGCAGAAGATGGAATGAGGTGATAGTGATATGCTGGAAGTGCTTTAGTGCTAGAAAGCTAAGAGGTAGGATTCTAATCCCATTGAATATCAAGCACACATGCTCCTTGAAGTGGTTCCTCGCCGGTGCTGCCCTTTTGTCAGGCGTCCCCTCACACTTTTCTTCTTTTGTAGTGAGGAGATACTCTTACCACCACAATCATAGTAAAAAAAATTCTTAGATATTATAATCTTTGATGCAGAAGATGGAATGAGGTGATAGTGATATGCTGGAAGTGCTTTAGTGCTAGAAAGCTAAGAGGTAGGATTCTAATCCCATTGAATATCAAGCAGTAGAAAAGGAAGCAAAACAAGACAGAACAAATTCTACATCTAGAACAGCCCTCTGTTAAAAAAAATTCAAAGATGAACAGGGAAACAATACAATCTGAATCCATTTCACTCTGTTTCAATAAGCTGTAAATGGTAGCTGCAATAAACAGCAACCTGAAATATGTTTTAGAAACTGCTTGCAATACAACGGAGAAACAGCTTCGAGAATCATACTTCTCGAATGAGGGAGCGCAGTAAAGCTAAGATTGATTAGTGTAAACTTAAAAATGTAACTGGCTCGGGGGGCTCAATGATTTAGGTATCTAGAGGTTGGGAGTTGGATTCCCCACTTTCTATCCTGCAAGTAGGGCCAGCCTGTATAGCCTTGGGCAAATTGCACAGTCCCAGGGAATGGGAAACCATTTCTGAGTATTCTTTACTTGAAATGGTTTGCTGTAAGTCAGAATGGAATCAGAAATTATTATTATTTAGTATTAAAAACATGATAGTAGACACTGGATTGCTGTGAACGCATAATGAACAATTAGTTATTTAAATAGTTATAACTTTTTTTTCCTGCCAGGAGAGGGGCCATTTGTTGTTCCGCTTCAGACAACAAACTGTCTTGGGCCATTTCTGGGCGACATTTACATATAAGTACACTCATAATCAGATGCAGTAATTTTTGTACTTTACATTTGGTGTCACGGTCTTTTAAAGCAAGGGTCCACAACCCCTGGTCTGTGGCCCGGTGCTTGTTTGTGGGCTTCCCAAAACTGGGCCACAGAGACGGATCTCCCCCCCCTGCGGTGGGCGTGTCACGCTCTCGCGGGGAGGGGGTCACATGTGCACAAGTGCAACATGCCCCCCCACGAACAGAGCCCACCACTAACTGGCTCGGGGGGCTCAATGATTTAGGTATCTAGAGGTTGGGAGTTGGATTCCCCACTTTCTATCCTGCAAGTAGGGCCAGCCTGTATAGCCTTGGGCAAATTGCACAGTCCCAGGGAATGGGAAATCATTTCTGAGTATTCTTTACTTTATTTGTTGTTCCACTTCAGACAACAAACGGTCTTGGGCCATTTCTGGGCGACATTTACATATAAGTACACTCATAATCAGCTGCAGTAATTTTTGTACTTTACATTTGGTGTCACGGTCTTTTAAAGCAAGGGTCCACAACCCCTGGTCTGTGGCCCGGTGCTTGTCTGTGGGCTTCCCAAAACTGGGCCACAGAGACGGATCTCCCCCCCCTGCGGTGGGCGTGTCACGCTCTCGCGGGGAGGGGGTCACATGTGCACAAGTGCAACATGCCCCCCCACGAACAGAGCCCACCACCCCCAACCAGTCCGCGGTCCCAAAAAGGTTGGGGACCACTGCTTTAAAGAACCGTCTTGCCCAATATTTTTAGCAGGATGCTGTTCTTCTCTTTTCCTTAGGTAATTTGGCACACTCTAAAAGTAAGACTGCCATCAACTATCAGACGTGGACTCCACAGAAATCAATCAGCCAAAGTAAGGTAAGGACCTAAACGGCAGCTGCCAACCCCACCACCTGTTAAAGTAGACAAAGGCAATATTGTTGTTGCTACTGAAAAGTAAGCAAGTAACCCCTTCCTTGGTTTCTCTCCCTCTCTCCTATTTTCTTTTCTGTTTAGCTGGATATCTTTGTGTTGTGCAATACGTATTCCTTCCGTGAGGTAAAAAAACACCTACATTTCCCTTCTTTCTGACTGTAGTTTTATAACTATTTCAGGCAAAATAAACTTCACTCTCGACTGTCACTGTCCTTAATTCTCATCCCCTAAGCATGCTTACTTGTAAGTATGTTTTGGCGAATTCAAAGAGTCTTACTTCCAAGTAAATATGTTCTGGATTGGTATCTCAGCTTGAATAGGAAAGAATACAATACTTCAAATGTGGAACTGCTGTGACAAGCTCTGTTATTTAAAAACATAACAACTGGGCTGCAGTTTTTGTTATTATTACTATTATTATTTTAATTAATTAATAGTTTCTCATCATTGCTGGTGCCTGTGGGCAAACTAAAGTGTCAAGTCTAAACATTACAAGTAAAATCCTATAAATTATTTAGTCATGATTTTTAAATGAGGGGGAAAGAGAAATCTAGATAAACATTTTTGCAATATTATTTGTGACATATCAGAAACTGTTCAGTATGTGTTTGTCTTCATATATGTACGATGTGATAATGTAATGTAGCTGGCGTAATGATTTCTGGCTTCCTTAGCAATTACTTAGTAGCATCTGCAGCTTAGAATGGGAATGTTCTGTTCATAAATAGTATGCTTTAAAGTGTCATTTTATTGAGCAGGTGTAGTGAGCTTCAAACACTGTACACATAAGAAATGCCCTTTTCTTTCTTCATACATATAGAGTGAGCCAGAAGATTCCATGCATCATCCAAGAGAAACAACCAGTATGAAAACGCAAACAGTAGCTTCATATTTCAGAGTAAGACCTTCACTCTTCTTCATGTTTTCATATATTTTATTTATGCATTAGGTGTTAACTCCTGACTCCTCCCTCCAGACTCTCTTCTTCTGTTGCTTCTTAGGAAAAGGCCATTTCACTTAAAACATTCAGAGATCCTTTAGGTAGGAGACCTAAAGATTTTATAGATTGTGGAAAGTCAATACTTCAGGCTACATAAGTAGTTTTACTCTACCAGGAACAGGTCTTTTGTAAAGCTAAAGGACCTTAATTGCTTTTAAAAACCAGGCTATCACCCAAACACTTAATATCACCATATACTGTAACTTACAAGAATACTATAGTTGCTGTGGAAATCCATTCGTTGTTTGGCAGACACAGTGAGGAATGTAGGTAAGTCTCAGGAAAGCCTGAGTAGAGATAGCAGATGCTTTTCCAAAAGTCCCAGTACCTTTAATTTTGGAATCCCTGGCCTCACAGCAGACACTGCCAAGGGCTGGAGATGTGGTTGGCCCTGGCGGAGGTAGAAGACACTGCAAGCAGACAGTAATGCAACTGGTCTGGACGTACCTTGTCCTGTTCAGCATGTGAACAAAAATGAAGCCACTGCTCATAGCACAACATGGAGCCACACTATTGGTTCCTTGGCACAGGCAGCCCAAAGTCTCCCACTGCTTGAAGCAGGGAGCTGAACGGCAGCCCAAGACAACGCATGGGGCCAAAGCCCCTAGATCATTGGCCCACATGCATCCCCTGGCCCCTTTCTCTCTTCTATGAGTGGATAAAGGGTTGGGGGAAAGGAGCTGGCAGCGGACTGCCAGAAGAGGAGGGGGAGGTGGCACACTGTTCTTCAGAGGCCAGTTCAGCTTTGAGGTCTGTTACAGGGACCTCAGAGCCAAGGGCTGGTCAGGGAAACTGGCGATGCCGCACAGGCCCAGCAGTGATGCTAGCTAGCTGCAGGGAGCCATTGGTGGTCCTACCTGTCTGTGCTCTGCTGCCTGAATTAGGTGCTTCACTAGGCCTCACGTGAAGAGTCAGGCCTGTCCATACAGAACTAGTTTGATAGCACTAGGTTTGATAGCGCAAGATCTCTGAGATGTGTGAAAGATGGCCTTCCTCCCAGATGTACTTTAAGTAGTCTAAATTATTGTGAGCCAAAGCAAGTACCTGAGAATTGTTTTTTTAAGGGCAAAACATGAGTGTGTTCTATAACTTTGTCTTTTCCATTTTCTTTCTTTTTTGCTTTGTTCTGTTTCCTCTTATTCTTTATGTTGTTTTGTTTGTCCTTCGAAGAGGTAGGGAGGAAAGTTGAATAAACGGAGTCAAAATTAATGTACAAACTAGCATTTCCAAGAACTGAACTGGGGACCCTCTGGCAGGCCCCCCTGAACTGTGGCAGCTTTTCTTTGTGTTGTCAGTTGCAGCAATTCCTGTGTTTGAAATGTGAAAATAATTTTTGTCTAGCCAAGGACAGAATCCATAGGCAGTCTTTAGCCTCTCTTCCCATGCCTACTGTGCCACATTGTGAGGTTTCAGTTGCTTCTAAATTGACAACTTTCCCTTCAACACACAGAAACAAGACTGAAAATCGTTTTGAATTCTGAGTAACGCAACATGCTGTGCCACTGTGCCAGTTTAGTGAATTGGAAATCAGAGGCCTGGGGGCTGCAAGCAAAATAGAGTGAAGCAGAAACCGACCCTTCTTTTTATGATTTTCAGACATCTGTGTAGAGGGAAATACCAGTTAGAGGGAGAGTCAAGCAATGTTTTGATATTAACGTTTAAGGGTTCTTAAAGGGTTCCCTCCAAATGATTTATCAGTCACTTCATCCAAGCTAGTTGGGTCTCATTATTGTCACTGATAGTCTTTGTTCTGTGGTACCCTGTGAAATTGTAATTGGACATTCAAGGAGCGCCTGAAGATGCTTTTTGAATTTACATTTGAATAATGCACCATCAAATGATGTTACATTATTGCTGTTATTTTCCTTTGAGTCACCCTGATGCTGGCACAATTAGCATCTCTGTTCTGAATAAGAATCTGCTTTAGAGACACTCTGTAGTGGTCCTATCAGCGCATTGTTTTATACTACTGTTGCCATTAACAGTTTTATGCCAACAGGGCAATTACGTCTCCATCTGCTCATAAAGGGTGCAGAATTGGCAGAGGGCATACAGTAGGCACCTTTTCCCATGTGTTATGTTAAGCCATAGACGGTGATAAAATATTGTCAACTCTGCTGGGTATTAAAAGCCATAGCATGATATATACAATTTTGATCATAAGAGTGTGGTTAAAAAAAATTATATTGAAAGTGACATTTTGCAAAGTAACCAGAAAATGATACACATACCCATATAATAACAAAGCTGTAATCTATAGGACATATTTTAAGCAAACATTGAGAAATTTCTAAAACAATTTACTTTTACAACTCCAGCCGTCTGATTTGATGTAATGTGAGTATTGTTCCACTGTTGCAGCACTAAAGTGTTATTATCTGGCAATTAAATGCTCTTCTGCCTGATAGATTCAGTAAAGATAACTGTTTACAGTGTGAGAACACTACAGGTTGTTGTAAATGAGACCTGGGCACATACTTTGAGGATGCAACAAGATGGCAAGAAAAGTGAACAGCTGAAAGGTTCAACTTTGTTGTAAGTGATCTTCCATAAAGTGGCTGTTCCATCTAGGGGAATTGTTCCAGACTGGCCCAAAACATAGTAGCCCTACATTTTGACCAAAAACAGTCCAGCATGGACAGGGATCAGGTTTGGGCTGGAATGTTATTTCATTTACATTACGCAATCACCAGGAAATAGCTTGCATCAGACTGTGCTACAGGCGGTGCAAACTACGAGCTACATTTCTGTGTGATCACATATGCACGCCCCTCACAGGCTGTGGAATTCTTTTGTAATAGTTGTCGGCAGATCCAAGATCCCATTAGATCAGTGCAAGAAATATAGCTTTTAAATAATTTACATTTGAAAAAAAAAACCTCTTACTGACAAATTAATTAGTATGTGAGAGAATGCCGGACATTTATTCTCATGTTTCTTTTCAGTATTCACTAATGGATTTATTGTCTAAAATGGTGGTTGGCCAGCCTCACTTTGTTCGCTGCATTAAGCCAAACAATGATCGGCAGGCAAACAAGTACGACAAGGAAAAAGTATTGGTACAGCTACGCTACACTGGAATTCTGGAAACAGCACGGATTCGGAGGCAGGGTTACTCTCATCGTATTCTGTTTGCTAACTTCATAAAGCGGTACGCCTTCTACCATTGTTGTTTTGCGTAGGCCATACTGGTTCCCAGCCTTGGGTCCCCATATGTTTTTGGACTGCAACTTCCAGAAGCCTTCTCCACTAGTTGTGCTGACTGGAGTTTCTGGGAGTTGTAGTCCAAGAACACCTGGGTTACCCAAGGTCAGGAACCACTGCTTTAAGATATGTTTCTCCCCGTTCTCATTGTGTCACCAAAATACTCTGATCCACACAAGCATATGCAATGCTTATTTTCCCTGCACTGCATTAGTGTCCCTTTGACCACTCCCAGCTCAATGTTTAAATTAATTCCATTGAAAAGTACTGTACTCCTCTTCGGGTGATGTAAAGTGAGGGAGAGATGCGATGCTTGTTGATGCTAGAACTCTGAGGGCCCATCCAAACATGCACATCCTTACTTGACATTGAAGTCATCAGGGAGTTGTCCTGCATGTGAGAATTATCCCTTGAGCTTGGAAATCTTTCTGGATTTGCTAATGCATGGAAACCCTCAGACCCACATGAGGTCTTGATTCAGGAACCTTCATGCAGAATTCATGGGCACAGAAATGGAAGGCCTTGGGAGCGGATTTTGCAGGCCAATAAAACTATGTACATATTAACTGTCCTACTTACAGCAATGATGAGCCCAGAGAAAAAGTGGGGAAGAAAATTAGGGTGGATCACCTGGAATCAGGTCCAGGTGAAGGAATAGAGTGACTTTGAATCCAGCAGATCCAATGATGGCTTGTCTCCTGTCTTGCCAAAAGAATGCCCACTTTGGCGCTTCCCCCCTTCTACCTTCTGTGTATAGCAAGAGTCTTCACCACAGTATGGTGCCCACTCTCTGCTATCAGAGGCATCAATGCAGCATCCTATACCCTATGTAGGCCTATTGAATTCCTGTGCAATAATAGCACAAGATCATGTTGGAAGATGGGTTTTCTTCATGGAGGTCATCAGAGTCCTTGCTCAGTGTCACTGCCTGCACAACACATCTGTTAGAGATAAGATTCAGTCTCCTCAGTTGAAGGACATTCTCAGTAGCTGGTCCCAAGCTGTGGAAGCTCCCGACCAAGGAAATTTCAGAGGAACAGCTGCATTAGCCTGTTGCAGCAGAAACACCAAAAGGTATTTTGGTACCTTAAGATGTTTTGTTGAGCATATTATTTCTGGGCTGCCATGAAAGCTTATGTGAAATAAAACTTGTCAGATTCTAACTTGTCACAGGATTTTGTTGATTTAAGTTAGCCCCCCTCCTAATTGTCTTCCAGCTGATGAGCAAAGATAAATTGATTGTGGCAGGCCTTCAGAATACAGGGGATATAGAGGGTGAATAGGGAATCCCTTATTGACATGCTTTAATTGATTTTAATTGATGTATTTTAATTATTCTGTTTTGCATTTAATTTTTAGTATTCCATTTGAGTATACCATGTATATACTTACAATGACAATAAATTATTTGTAATTGAATTCATTATTAACCCAATTTTTTGTGCGGGAGAAAGGTGGAGTACAGGTCTAATAAATAATTCAGAAATAGTGTACACACTCAGTATCACTAAAGAAAACAGCAGGAGCATTACATGTTTGAATGTGCTCCTACACTGAAAATTTTCTTCCAGCGCAAAACTACTATCTGATTTGTTGTCTCTGTGGGTATATTTAGTTTTCTTTGTATGCTGTTATTTATTCCATTTTTTTTACTTCCCAATTAGTGCAAATCACTACACTGGGCAGTTAACAAACAAATAGAATAAATACAAATTATACAGCAATAAAGTAAATAATAAACAAAACTAAACAAAAAGCTGTTGTTTGATTTGGGCCTCAGAAGCATCCAGACATGTTGTTCATCTACGTTTTGAAGTGGTATGGTCCCAAGGAGAATGGAACAGTTCCAAATATTTTTTTCTGATTGTGTAGGTTAATATAAATAAATGAAATCAAACATAAATTAAAAGTTTTGATGTGTTGTGGCATTTTCAAAATTTCAGCTGCTTATGTACACAGATATGCCTGTGGTTAGCCTTTTAGCTTGGTGTTTAAATGTCATGCATACAAGTTCAGAGTGGCTGTGACAGTATTACACATCTGTTTGTACAAAAAAAATCAGATAAACATGAAATGATGAGTCTAAAATGTCTTCTGCAATTGAGATACTTAAAGATCAAGGGTTTTGTTTTCACTCTCTCTTAGATATTATCTCCTTTGTTACAAATCAAATGACAACCCCCCTGTAAGTCCCGAAACTTGTGCTGCCATCTTGGAAAAAGCCCAGCTCGATAACTGGATACTTGGGAAAACTAAGGTAACAATTTCGTACACAAGGATCAGCTCCAGCTCATATCCCAGTGAAAATCCAGTTTAGACTTTGCTTACACGCACGCACAATCCTAGTTTGCTTAGCAGTTGTTGGAATGGGGAGAACCAGTATGAGAAGTAGGGGCCAGGGTACTGAATGTTTAAATGAAAAACAGGATAAAAATACTCTTAAATAAACACACTAGTAGTTAGCTCATTCAGGATAAACCAGAATTCTAGAGAATTTTGGCCATTTGTGCACAACCGCTGCTTGCTGTACCCTTCTAGTCAGATCCAAAAATGATAGTATACTTTTTATATATTACTGAGAAAAGAATACCAGCTTCCAATAGTCTGCAATTCAGTCTCCTTGGAATTAAAATTCTTATAAAACCTGGTAGTTTCATAGAATAATAAGGCCATTGAATCTATCTCACTGCTCAACACAGGAATCCAAATCAAAACAGGTCTGACAGATGGTTGTCTAATTTTCTCTTGAATGCCTCCAGTGTTGGAGCGCTCACCACCTCCCTAAGTAGTTGGTTCCATTGCCATACTGCTCTAACAGCTAAGAGGTTTTTCCTGATACTCATCCTAAATCTGACTTCCTACAGATTTAGGTCGTTATTAGATGTCCTGCATTCTGGGATAATCAAGGACAGATCCTGCATGGTCCCCGCTCCTAATCAGTAGTCCACAGTCACCAAAAGATAGGAAAGAGGTGTTGAATACTTGTTACAGTGCCAGGTCTTCATCTTCTTTTCCTTTGTAATTGCAGAGGGCATAATATTATAGATATCTCCTGTAAAAGAAAATTTATAATGTAGAGGCATCTCCAACCTCTTTTGTTTTCTTTTTAGGTGTTTCTCAAATACTACCATGTTGAGCAGCTAAACCTAATGCGGAAGGAGATGATCAACAGGATTGTTTTGATTCAAGCTTATGTTAGGGGATGGCTTGGTTCAAAGAGATACAGAAAACTAAAGGAGAAAAGGGAAGAAAATGCAGTTAAAATACAATCAGGTACAAGTTTGATTTGGCTTGCAACTTTGAAAATGTGATTTTTGGCAGGATTGGTGGAGTATGTAATCCAGGCATCATATATCAGACTTTTTGCTGTGCTTATCATTGGCTTTTTATTTGGTTCATTATATTTTATCTCGTTGTGTTATTTTATGATACTGCAAGCTAGCATCAGTGAACATTTTGCCTAGAAATATGGAATATAAATAATAGCATGGGTAACAATATGTAAATAAAATAACTTCAATCTTGATTTAGTCATAATTCAAATAGATGTAATGAAATCAAAGATATTTGAGTTCACCGTGACTGAAGGCAGAATGTTTCCTGCTAAAATATAACAGTTGAATACTGCATTCTTTCTTCTAGGAGAGATCCCCTGCAGTCAGGCAAAACAGACCAATAAAATGTAAAACATGAAAGGTCCAAAGTGATCAAGCTCATTTATTTAGCCAAGAACCCCCCCCCCAAAAAAAACACTCATACATGAGTTGTCTTCTACACTCTTAGTGGGCTAGTCTTTTTTTATTTGATTTTTTAAAGCAGGCTAGTAGATTTTGTGGGATTATTTACAAGATTGAATTAGGATTACATAGTGGGAGAGCCTTGCGGCTATATCCATTCATGGAAAAGGCTTCAGGAGTTGACCTAGAGGCAAAATCCGGAGCTGGAGTCCCGAAGGCAGTTCGTGTCGTTCTACCAACTCCTGCGACATTGCTGGAACCAGTTGTATTGGCTCTTGCGTTTCCATTGGACCATTTCAGCAACATGGAGAGGGGGGATTTGCTGCTTGGGTAACAGCCTATCCTCCATATTACTTTACCCAGGCTTCATGCTCTGGAGGGGACACTTCTCGATACAGAGCATGTTACCATAGTCTCTCGAGACTGAAGGATGCCTATGATGATGATGAAGAACGACAATGTATGTTCTGCTCAACATACAAAGCACATACTTTTAATACAGTGAATCCCAGGTCTATCCCATAATGATGCTTCAAGTTTGATCCCTGTGCAGCTGACTAGGGCTTCTTCCAGTGCAGTAATTTCAGTAGTTAGGCCTTGAATTTATAGTTGGAGAAATCCAGCCTTTCCTTTCTCTTTGCACCTAATTCTTTATTTGCTCCATGTGATTAGAAACCCTACAGAATATCTCATTTCATATTTTGTGTTAAAGTACAGATTAATCAAATTTCCAGGGGTTGAGAACCTGCTTTGTCACCTCTCAGACCTCTCACAGAGAGGGGTGGGGGGAAAGCTGTTGAATCGGCTGGGGCCAAAAATGTTAGTTTTCCTTTAAACAAGGTTGATCATTCCTGTGCACTTTCTTCCCTTTTAGTTTTGAACTTTCAGAGTTCTTTTAGGGACATGAATTTACTTGCAAACAAGACATTCCCCATTTTAAAGTGAAAGTTGCACTTTTCACACACACACACACACACACACACACACACAGAGAGAGAGAGAGAGAGAGAGCACATGCAAGCTGTAGTTTAGCAAAAGTATTGTAACTCCATACTTACAAAATTCTTACCATCTGTCTTTAGCTTACAGAGGATATATTGCTCGTAAAGAATATACAAGTGTAAGGAATGCATACAAAATGGAAATGTGCATTACCAGGCTTCAGGCAGGTGAGAATTAATGTTTTGATTCCTCCCACTGTTACCAAAGGCAGGTTGATGCAATCAGTATGCGTGCCTACCTCTCTGGATAAGAAAGGAAGCATCTGCACCTTCTGTTTTTGCTTAATGCCGCTTCCATTAGAGCTAAGCCATAGGTAACAGTTGAGCTGTAGCTGCATCTGTGAGTCATATTGGACCCAGAAGTCTAGAGTCAGAAAATAGACTAATGTTGCCCAGGAAAAATTCTTATGGAGGAGAAGCAATGGTGAATGTAAATGGGCAAGGCCACTCTCATACCCAGAAACCCTTCACTGTCAAAGAAAGGCTTCAACCTGTAGTCCCAGTGGTTCGCCACAAGGGGCACCACTACACAGTGAGCAGAACGTTCTGACTCCAGTCCATCCCGGCCATTTTCTTTCTTCTTTGGGAGTTTGATGATGTCAGCAGATACTTCAGAAGAAGGTGACAAGCGTAGGAATGGACTGTATCATTTCAGACTTGGGAGCGGGCCGCTTTTTGAATGCTCCAATATGAAAAGTTTTCCTGTAAGTTTGAAATAAGCATGTCAGGGGATGGGCTGGCAGCACATCATCATCATCATCTCTGCCAAATGAGCTGTTTATTCACAGGAAGTATTTATAAAGGGGAGCACTCAAAAAAAAAGGCATCCCCCCCCATGTGCAGTCTGAAGTAGTACATTCCAATCAACCACTTCAGGATTCTTTTGTTTCATTTTGCTTCTTTGAAGGCAAGGTGACACTGGTGGGGTTGAACTATTCAAACCTGGAGGGGAAAGGCAGAATAGATTTGTTGGGGCGAGGGGACTGTGTGCAAGGATGTCAGGAAAAAAATTGTACTCCATTTCTAGAAACAGGAGTGGTCTTGATGTTAGGCAGGGTGTGGCAACCAGCTTTGGCAGCAGAACATGAGGGGCAGGGTGTGAAGGCAAAGAGTTGGAGAAGCAAACCATTATCACCTTATCCTGTGCCTCTTAAGCCAGCATGCTTCTTTCATGTGCAGCCACATGGGCTTGTCTACATGGCTCAGTTGGAGCGGGCTGAAGCAGCTAAATAGGGTCTTTGCATCCAAATGTCAAGTGACTCTTCTTGGCCTGCCTCACTTAAGGGGGAAAAAATCACCCCCTTGCCCCTTCTTCTCTCCTCCTCCTTCTGAGAGAAAGTTTTCATTTAAAAAAAATCTAAGTGGAATGGACCATCCGTGCTGTCCTAGTAAGCTTTTAAAAAGAACAGGAGTAGAAACAATGTTTAATTTCCCAATATTATGATGTGGCTAAGCTGGTTTTTTTTCAGCCACTTAACTATATTGGGAAATTCAAATCACAAAGTAAAATTCAAAGCCACATGCTCCCTTTTGGTTCTATCTCAGCAATTGCATGTGCTGGTTTGTATCCTAGTGTATCTACAGCATACCCATTTGGAAACAGGCTACTCATCCTCAGTCTATAGTATGGCTATTTATATAAGCAGCACACTTCATTTAACACCTTTAGGTTACGGTTTTTAAAAGAAAGTTTTGTTCTTACTGTCGTTTATGTCAGCTGCAAGAGGATACTTAATCAGGAAGAAGATTAAACAGCAAAAGGATGTGAATAATAAAGCGGCAACAACAATTCAATCTCACTACAAGGGATACAGGGAGCGAAAGAGTTTCAGAAGGAAAAGGTACTGTTGGTATTAATATCATGGTTCCATTAAATGCCATTTTTTCCTGTGAATTAAAAAAAGAGCAAGAAAGCAGCAGTATATTGTACATCATGACAAACTGCAATCTTCCAAGCAGTGAGAGTGAGAAGGATCTTATATTTTGTTTTCATTCTACATTTTATAAAAGTGTGTACAATTTCCACTTAAAATAATGGGTGGAAATAGCATTTCACTATTGTTTGATTTGGAAAGAGCTTTCTTGCCTCTGTGTCTTTATGTTGGAACCAGATCAGGAATATAATCAAATATGGAATCAAAGAATTCAATATTTGATATAGAGCTAAGTACATTTTGCCTGAAGTAAAGAAAATAGCTGGCAAGCAATCTGGACTCAAGTTTACCAGAACCAGTTCTTAAATTGTTGTAGGAAAGCTGCTACTGCTGCTATCTATAGCAGAAGTGGGTAATCTTCGGGGAGGGGGGCTGGTGACTCATCAAAATGGCAGCCTCCCTCCAAAAAATATGTAAACAGGAAATGAAAATTCAGGCATACTTCCAGCTTTGTTTTGTTTTTTATTGGGTGGGCTTCAGGAGAAGCATTCAGGGATCCCAAAGTGAAAAGTGCTAGAGGCTTCCAGGAGCAAAAATAGCTCTCGCTCTCTCGCTCTCTCTCTTCTTCTCCTTCTTCTTCTTCTTCTTCTTCTTCTTCTTCTTCTTCTTCTTCTCCTTCTTCTTCTTCTTCTTCTTCTTCTTCTTCCTTCTCCTTCTCCTTCTTCTTCTTCTTCTTCTTCTTATTATTATTCTTATTATTATTATTATTATTATTATTAGCATGCTGAAACTTGGTCTCTGGGGAGACCTTCCAGGGTCCAGAGGCACTGCATACAGCATGTCCTACTTGATTCCTGCCCATGACCTAGAAAATAGAACCTGCATGCAATGTGGTCCAGACCTATACATGTTTATGAAGCTGTCCATTTTTTTTCTTTATTGGGTTGAAGAACATAGGAACATGGGGAAACCACCTCATATTTACTCAGACCTTTGGTCTATCTAGCCTGATATTGTCGACATTCATTGGCAGTGGTTCTCCTGGCTTTTATACAAGATTCTTTTCTCTTTGTGACTTAAGGATGCTGTGAGTTGAGCCTGAACCTTTTGTATTAAGTAAACTGGGCCAGGTTCTGCTTAGCTTATGAACCCATACAGAGTAAAAGCAGGATCCAACTAGTGCGGTGGCTTTGAAATGCAAAATTGGACGCTAGTGAGTGCTGCAAATTTCACTGGCACAGTGATTGTCATTTGGCTCTTAGATCTCACAGTGATCAATAATGGTAATATATTATTATTATCATAGTAGCATATATGTTAGTGAACCTTCTTGACTTCAACAGGAGCTGTGCTAGCTTTAACAGTTTATGAATGATGATAACTACCTTATGAAATATATAAAGTTGCTGGTATTTGAGATACTAAAAACACTGCTTTTCAAAATTCTGTTTTTTAGATCCTATTTCCTGCTCTAAGCAGCAGCAACATTTCATATTTTATCATTTGTCGTATTGACATTTGAATGCATATATGCTGCCCTGAGGAGGTTTGTAAGGTTATGGAATTAGTTTCCTTAATATCTCCTAAATATAGTATGTCTGTTTCAGGGAATCACTTCTGAGGAAAGACCAGGCTGACATGACAGCTAAGCCAGTTGAAAAAGGAGAAGGTGAACAAACTCCAGAGTCTGAGATTAGGACAGCTATTGTGCAAAACTCTGCTCCTCGTACTGAAGAGGAAGCTGCTGTTATCCTACAGAGTAACTATCGGGGTTACCTGGAACGTAAAAAATTCAAGGAGCAGCTTGAGAAAAAAGGAGCTTCAGAAGTTGCACAGATTTTGCTTTCAGAGGATGGCGCAGATGTTAGACAGAACTCTTCTCATACTGAAGAGGAAGCTGCTGTAATCCTTCAGAGTAACTACCGGGGTTACCGAGAACGTAAGAAGTTCAAAGACCAGCACAAGAAGATGGGATGTTCAGAAGAGAAGCACAACTTATCTCCACAGTTTGTGGGTGGTGTTGCAGTTGTACAAAAGTCCTCTCCTCAAACTGAAGAGGAAGCTGCCGTTATCCTTCAGAATACCTACCGGGGCTACAAAGAACGTAAAAGGATCAAGGAACAGAAAATGATAGAGAGAGGGCCATCTTCAAAACAAAGTTTCAAACGGGATGAAAAAACAGTTCAAAATACGGCACTGGAAACAGAAGCTGGAATGGACCAAAAAGATACAGCTACTGCACTTACTCGGAGCATCTCCTACTTGGATCAGAAGGCACCAGATGGGAACAAAGAGATGCTTCTTAGAGAAGGAGGCCCTTCAGCGCAACAAAAGCCTGCAGAGGAAGGGAAAAAACAGACCAGCTCCAGTCGCTCCTCTAAGAGAGGATCTATCAAAAAGGCAAGCGAAGCTAGCCGGCAGGGTCCTCAGGAAAGAGGTACTGCAAATGAGAAAAATAAAAGTCCTGCCATTCCCTGTGATAGTCACCAGGAAAAAGAGTCTCTGAAACAAGGCCAGCCAATTCCCTGTGAACACAAAGCGAATCTAAGGAAAGGCTCCCTAAGAGGCTCTCTGAAACATATTGAAGCTAGCAAGCTGGCCTCGGGAGACAAAGAAAAAGCAGCGCTAGTCATTCAGAGTAATTACCGAGGGTACCGGAGACGGGGACAGCTCAGAAAAGAAGGGAAATTGCCTTGTGAACACCAAGCAAAAGCCCACAGTGAGCTGAAAGGTGGTGGGCCCAGTCAAAATCTCATTTCTAATGCAACAAAAGAGAGGCAGAGTTCTGGTGCTCAAGCTGAGGGCTCAAAGGACATTCTAAAAGATGGCCCAGTGAAAGAAAAGTCGGACTTGGCAGCTTTCTCCAGACAGGTAAGGTGCTTAGAGCAGCCCATTCCACATCGGCTCATCTCCATTTGTACTAAACTACAACTGTCATCATCTCTGCTACTGCAGCTGACTGGGAGGGGAAGATGAAGGTTATGGTCCACCCAGCTAGAGAATATCTAAGTTGGCAAAGGCTGGCTTAGAGCAGATGCAAAATTCACATTGAACAGTCACTTGCTGAAAACGAATGTGGTTTTAGGAGACAACCATAACAACAGCAACAACAATAATATTCATTTCCATCACTTATCCACTAGATACTATACTGGGCTCAGCATATTGGTTAGCCTTTGTTGTAAATTTTAATACAGATTATTAAATCTATTTGGGAGAACTTTATTAGGAGAATAAACAGCAACAGAGTTCCTATGAGCCTTTAAACCTACCTTATTGATCTGGAGCTGTAAGGCAGAGGTTGCACTTAAAAACAAAAGTTACTCACTTTGTTTAGAAAACACATTTGACTGAAAAACCTATCCTAACTAGATAGAGGATCATGATCCAAAGCCTGAGCGCATAGCCCAGAGAAGGGAAGTGTAGGCCACCCTCAAAAAACAGATGTTAACTGCTTGCAAATTTGAAAGGACTAAGGGTAAGGAAACAGAATGTGGGTAATCTTTATTTCTTCAGGGGGTGAGTAGGACAGCGAAAGACCACCAATGAAAAGGACAGGTACAGCTTACTCTCACTTCCAGAATGACCCTGTTGGGCACCTGTGGGGACAGGTGCACGAAAGGTAGTGTTCCAGAATATTCTTCCAACAGTGTTAAGACTCTTTTTTATTACTTCTATGGTTCAGTAAGTGTTCTGTGGTTCAGTATGATAATTAAAATTGTAAACCGCCCGGAGAGTGCTTGTAACGCTATGGGGCGGTATATAAATCCAATAAATAAATAAATAAATAAATAAAATACTTCTATGGTTCAGTAAGTGTTCTATGGTTCAGTATGATTTTTTTTTCTGTATACCTATGAAAATTCTCTGTAACAAGGGGAAGGGGTTCCCATTCTCTGTTGACCTTCCCTTTCCCCCTTGATTGGCCTTGACATGTGTTTTTCTTGTATTATCTTGACTCTAGATCTCAAAATTATCAGAAGACTATTTGGTGCTCCAGCAGAAATTGAATGAAATGATTCTCTCACATCAGCTGAGACCTGTGATGCTCTCCAAAGACAGACAGACAAATGGCCACCTTTCTCCCCGTGTGTGTCAGCCTGGTAAAAAAAATGTTATTATTTGAAGGCACTTTTAAAATTAATTTAATGCAATGCTGGGCAACCACAGCTGCCTTGACAATAAACGTACAGCATGGGATGACAGCTTGTGTCCTTTAGATATTGTTAGACTACATATCCCATCATCACTTGCTCTTTGCTTTGCCGGTAGGGCTAATGGGAGTTGCAGTCCTGTGATGTGGACAGCTACAATTGCCCACTTCTTTGGTACAGGATAGTAGCACAGGATTAATAGGCAGAGAATTCCATACCTGAAAGAGCAAGCAGGCCCCTATATTTTTGCATTGATATAACTGTGGATCAAAAAATCATTGGCATGGAACGAATCCAAAAAAACCACCTAGTCCAGACTCTTTATTCAGAAGGCAGGACTATCCACCACCTTATTTCCCCCTTATATATAACATAGACCTTAGTGCACCTTGGGAGGTAGGTGAACTGCACGGCTGAATATCTTCCACGCAAATAACCTCAGATGACTCAAGCAGTTTCATAAGTAAACTCTAGTTACTACAGGAAGTTAACTGGATCTTCGTGGCAACTTCTTCCTGCCCAGCCTCATCCTCTGTCATTTTGCCAATAGAAATGTTCCTATTACATTTTAACCAAAGGAAACATTTGCTACAGCTTGGGAATAATTTATTAGAAATACGTTTTCTTCTTTATACCTGAGACATAGCTAAGTGATGTTACAGTAACATAATAGAGGGATAATGTCACTTTTTGCAGTGTAATTAGTAACTGATTTTAGATTGATAGTAATGGGGGCATGGCCTCACTAATTTTTCTGCCACAGGCCAGGAGCTGGTGGCAATCCAAGATGTGTATTTTTAATAAGTACCATTTAAAGTTACAACTGTAATAAAAGAAAGGGAACATTTACTTCCCAGCTTTTGGAGTTATGGCTGAAACTCATCATCAAGGAGCTTTAGAAATATACCTAATTATTTTTTTGAAAAGTAACTTAAGCTCTGAATGATGGAAGGAAATAAAATAATAAATCATTTTTTCATTCAGCATGTGGGTTGGGAGCACACAAGATGGGTTGCATCCGTGGCACTTTAATTTTTCCCTTTTTTTCCTGGATTTATTATTTTTAAGGAGGAGAAATATAGTGTACACGAATATGAATTTTCCCCCACAGGTGCAGATAACAAGGGTCCGGCCCCCTGGGGCCAGACCGTCCACCCACAATTCCGCCGCTGCCATGACCTTCGCAGTCCCTTCCTATGTATCTCTCCGTTGC